TGATGATAGTGATGAAAGCTGACAGTGAAAGGAAGAGTTATGGTAGTAATAGCTCAAAAAATGACGAAGGTGATGGGAATGGTCTTTAACAACAGCAATGCATGCTGATTATCATCCTCATAATAATAATTGATTATCAAGATAAGTTATGATGATGGATAAAGGATTGTGGTAAAAACTGCAACAACAACAAAATAACATTGATAATGGGCAACAACAATTAAGAAAATAGAAAAATCAAACAAGAATAAATTTGGGCAATAAGAATAATAATGTTAGGAGTAGTGTAGCAGTTGCTGGAGTAGTTGTAGTAGTAGTAATAATTAATGAGTAATACAGCACAACAACATTATTATAAATAAGGGATAATAACAGCGATAACAAAAACAAACAAAAATAATATTGATAATAATGATAATAAAAATAACACGACAACACAAACTAGAGTTAGTAGTAGTAGTAGAGCAGGAGTAGTATAGTGTAATAATGGTAAATAACAATAACTAAATGGCAACTAATGATAATGATTGATAAGTAAGTGAAGGAGATAGAATGATAAAATTGAGAACAATGATAAAGATACATGGATCATAATAAAATGATAACAAGTGATATATACGAGAAAAAATAACATGATACATGAAAACAATAATAAAGTTATATTAACATGAGATGATTACAATACAAGTGATATCAGTTAAGAAAAAAAAATGGATAATATAAAAATAATGAATACTATCAGACAATAAATGATAATAGAGATGATGTTGTGATAAAAGGATAATAGCCATTGCTAAAAAATAAATAAATAAAAACACGAAAGATAATGGTAGTAATGATAAAAATAATAATGATGATGATAATAAACATAAGAGCAATAATGAATATGATGGTAACCATACTAATGATGATAATGTTAATACTGATAATAAACAAAAGAAATATTGTTGACAGCAAAATAAATGAAAATGATAATACTAAAAATAGAGACGATATTGATAGTGTTGATAAATTTGACTAATATTGATGATGATATCAGTAATTTTGGTGCAGTGACATTTATGGTGATGATGATATTAAGATAATAAAAGAATGATAAAAATGATAATCATGATGACAATAATTACAATAAAAGTAGCCATGGTAGTAATAATCATAATAACCATCAAACAATAGGAATAATGATAATAATGATAATGCAACAATAAATTTGTTTTAACAAAAACAATGATAATGATAAAAATGATAATTATTGATTATCATAATGTATTATCATTATTATTATTACTAGTATTATCATTATCATTGTCATCATTGCTATTATTATCATTGTTATTATTATCATTATTATTATCATTATTATCATTATCATCATCAATATTATGATTATCATTACTATTATTATTTTCATCATCATTACTATCATTGTTACTGCTGCAGTGATATTAATGATATTGATAATAGATAATGATAATGCTAGCATAATTTTGATGAGGAAAACAGGAATACTAAAAATAACAATAACAATAATAACAAGGAAAGTAATGATGAAAATACTACTGCTAATAATAATAAGAATGTTAGAATAATGACAACTTTAGTAACAGTAATAATAATGATAAGGATAACTACGATTGGAATAATAATAGCACAAATATTGATAATAAAACGGTAATTATCACAATAAAATCAAAGATGACAAAACACATTTGATAACTAATCACCACAGTAATAGAAATTATGATGATGATAATAATAATAACAATAACAATGAGGATAATAATAATGATAATAGGATAAATAATAATAAATAAATATAATAAATAATGGAATAATAATAATAATAATAATAATAATAAATAATAATAATAAATAATAATAAAATAAATATAATAATAAATAATAATCTCAATAAGAATAATAACAGTAATCATTATAATAACTATGAAAAATTAATATTAATAATAATAATAATAACAATAATGATAATAACAATAATAGAAGTAGTAGTAGTAATAATAATAATAATGATAATTGATATAAATAATAATAGATAATAATAATAATAATTAATTGATAATTAATAACTATGATAATAAAAAATTATAGTAATCACATTCAATAATAACATTAATGATTAATGATAATAAATTACGAATAATAATAATAATAAATAATAATAAATAATAATGATAATAATAATAATAATAATGATAATAATAATAATAATATTGGTAATAATGACAATAAAAGTAATAATGAAAATAATAATAATAATAAGTATGAGAATAAAAGTAATGATAACAGTGATAACGACAACAATAATAATGATTATAATGATGATTTTCATAAGAATGGTAGTAATATTACTAATAATACCATTATTAATAATATTACAGTAACAAAAAGCAATACTGGAATTGACAGTAACAACAACAATAATAACAAGGCCGACAATAGCTATGTTAAAGACAGTAATAATGACGGTGATTATAAAGATGATGCTGATAACGATGATGATAATTATGATGAAGATGACGATGGTGATATTGATAGCAATGACGGTAATGATAATGAGACGACTGACTATACTACTTTAAAGATTGTAAAAGAACCTACTACTCTTACAATGGTGATGATGATGATGATGTGAAAAATTAATAATATAATAATGCATAATGAAATGATCAATAACGTTGATTGTAATAAAATATGGGTATTATTATTTTAATAATGATGATAACGATGATGAAACAAAAATGAAATTATGATTATTATTGTTTTTCATGAATGGTTATTATCATAATCATAATTAATATTAATAATAAAACATAATAAAAATAATGATAGTAATGATATTAATGATAATGATAGTAATATCAATAATAGTTCTAATGATAATAATAATAATAAATAATAATAATAATAATAATAATATGAGTAATATATAATAATAATAATAAATAATAATAATAATAATAATGATAATAACTGTAATAATAAAAATTATAAATGATGTGATTTAATTATAATGGTAACCATAATAATGACAGTAATAATGATAATAATAATAATCAATAATATAATATAATAATAATAATTAATAATTAATAATAAAATAATAATTGAATATAATAATAATATAATAATAATAATAATAATAATAATAATAATAATAATAATAATACTAATAACTAATAACAACAAACAATAAGATAATAATAATAATAATAATAATAATAATAATAATGTTAATAATAATGATATATGATAAATCATAGTAATTAATAATAATAATAACACATAATAATAATAATAGTAATAATAGTAACGCTAGAAATAATGACAATAAAGATCATAATAATCATAATAATGATAATGATAATTGCACTAATACCTAACAAAAAGGGCAATAATAATTACTAAACTGAAAGGGCATTTGATTAATGATGACCATAAGAGAAATGCTAATTATCAAAAGTGTTTTTCAATGAAAATGATAATGATAATAATACCAATAAGAGTAATGATAATAATAACGATAGTGATGATAAGAACAACAACAATAGTAATTTCAATAATGATGATGATAAGCCTATGATAACAGCAACACCAAAGATGATGGTGCGAATAATAGCAACAATATTTTGACACCAATGGTATCAAACAGAAAGATGATAATAACAATGATGGTTATTATAATAAGGTCCATAATGATGATAATAAAGATGATAATCTAATCATAATGAACAAAATTTCGAAAAGTATGGTTCCATTCTACTACTGTAACTAACTACTAATGATAGTGGTTAATAAAGATGGTAATTATTAAAAGTAACGACAACAAGAATAAAAAAGAAAAAAACGCATCTCTTTACGTAATTCGTATTTATAATTTTATAATAATTATGATGGAGGATAAAATTATTATGCTATTAGGAATATCAAAAATATGGAGATGATGATGAGGATAATGTTTATGAAAGATTATTAATAATGGGAAGAATAAGAAGAGATTGCAGAAGCAACAATAATGAAAGGAATAGATATAATAGCAATTATACAAAGATAATTATTACTACTACTATTATCATGATGAAAGTAATGGTAAGATTATGATACTACTATTACTACTGCTGCTGTTAATAACAATAAAAACAATAATAATAGTAATGATGATAATGATGATGATAATAATAATATGGATAGTAATAATAATGATAATGAAAATAATGATGTTAACAGTAATGATAATCATAATGAAAATAATAATAATAACAATAATAAGAACAATAATAATGATGATAATAACGGTAATAGTAATAAAACTATTAACAAAAACTATCGTAAGAAAAAGTAATAAAAGGAATAATGAGAACAATATAAGTTGTAATGATAATGATATTGGAAAGAATGATAATAATAATGATAATAATAATAATAACGAAACAACAATAATGATAATGAGAATAATAATAATAATGATAATGATGATACTGATAACAATAATGATAATAATAATAATTATAGCAAATGATAACCATGATGATAATAAGGATAATAATAATAATAATAATAATAATAATAATAATAATAATAATAATAATAATAATAATAATAATAATAATAATAATAATGATAATGATAATTATCATTCTAGAAATCATAATTATAAAACAGATGATAATAATACTGACACTAAAATTTGTAATCGTACGATTGATTTTTTTCCCTATTTCTTTTTGTTTTGCTTTGTTTGTATGTTTGCGTGTGTGTGTGCGTGTGTGCCTGTGTGTGTGCATGTGCGCATGTGGTTATTCGTTATCATGAATGAGTGCATGTGTGTAAGTGTGTTTTTGTTTGTCTGTCTGTTTGTTTGTGGTAACTGGGTGTATGTGTGCGTGTTTGTGTTGTATGTTCGTGTCATGAGTTAAAAGAATGTGTGTGTGTGTTCAGAAAAATACACGACAAACGACACACACACAAACCGTAATCCCAGCTTTTGCATAACACATACTCTGCTCTGATTTTGTTGTCCTGTATTGCTTCTGAAGTCTTGATTTATGGGAAAGTTTATTTTTTATCATTTTTTTATATATACTTTTGATATGAAAAAATAAATCGCATTGGTAAGGGTTCTTTTTATATGTCAACTACAACCCTACCATTCTACTTGATGGTATTGCTAAGTATTACATGGTTAAGTAAGGTGCTTTATGTACAGTGTTTCAAAGGAACCTTACATTTACACGGAAGTACGAGTGTCTTCTAAAAAGGATGGACTTTCATGAAAGTACAGTATGAACGTATGAATGTAGTCTCATTATGATACAGCTGACATGAACATCTGAGGACTCTGATGAAAATAAACACTGAATATGAATATGGCTCAAGAGATTAGACACTTTTTTAGCAAATACGTAGCACGGGCTTTGAATATCAGGTACAGCTTACGATCATAGGTTTAAAAGATGAATAAATAAATGACTGAACGCACAGGGATCGAACTGGGGTAAGGGGGCTGATGTCACAGGAACTTAAGGATACTCCCGGTGGATGCTGGCCTCGCGAAGGACCTGCGTGCCCTTGGGAGGCGAGGCGGCCGAGGAGGGCAGCCGCTGGGTCCTGAACACCGTGTTCTGCAGGGTCCGCTTCCACTTGTCCTGGGCGTCCCGCAGCTTCAGCAGCCACGTTTGCTGTCGAGAGATTCAGAGGGCAATGGCGGGCAGGACGGAGGGGGAGCGGGTTTGATAAAATGCAGGAAAGGGCTTAAACATACACACGTATGTAGATGTACCTAGAAAA